GATTCTCTCCTTTTAGTCGAGCAATTTCGTCCATAATTTAAGCACATCAGTTGAAACTAAAATGCATTAATGTATGTACGTACAATGAAATTAATATGAGTTGGATTGTATAAATAGTTGAAGTGAGCAGGTGGCTATAGGGACAACATATGCAATTGATTCTACAATTGCGATGTTGATGCTCTAATTGAGAAATTGACGTATTAAATAAAATAGTAGATATAATAGTCAACATAACTTGAAATATGTTGATGTAATAAATATTTATAAGAAATCACATCACGTCTCTTGATCTACTAAAATATTGATTTTAATTCTATCAACTAGAAGTCCTCTGGAGTAGAAAGTCATTGTGTTGGCATGCTTTGCCCCAGTTACATTCTTACATACTTCATAACACCCAATCGAGTACAAAAGCATAAAGCAGGAGTTTTGTGATCATTAAAGGTGTTATCAGCCTTCAGACTAGGCATTGAATTAATTGTTGTACGAGAGTAAATAATTAATTGGCTAGTTAATACGTAGTGATTATTCAGAGAGATAACTATCTACTTAGAGATAACTTCAGTCATTTGAGTAAGAATTAAATTGATTAATAAACGAGTTGAATCAGGTAATTAGGTAGTGAATTCCAAGTTGTCTTTCCCCATAGCTTCTCTCCAAAGAATTTACTTGAAGTTAATTTTCATCTTGCATTTGTAATTTAGTAATTGTTTTACATTTAATTTCTATAAAATCACTTTTGCTCTTTTAAGTTCCTTAATTTTAATATTTTTATATAAAGTTCTAGGAATCTCTATGGGATGATAAGTTACTTATCTTTATTACTCAATCCATAATCCATATATACATTTTATTGCATCATGTTTTTGACGCCTTTCTTGTGGGCTGCCATACTTTTGAGTTTTGATTCATTAATTTGAGTTAAGTGAACTATTTTAATTTTTATTCTAGCTTTTAGGTAATCCTCTTTGTAGCCAAGGAGGGATAACAAAGAGTTATCTTTGATAGATCGAGAGATGAAATAGGCATGCGAGAAGAAGCGAAAGTAGGTAAAAGTAATGAAGAACGTCACATCATCATTATTAACTACTTTCATATTGGGTAATGAGAGCATACATTCTACAAATAGAAAATCTGCATAACAGCTTTACATAGTCACATAGCCTATCATCATCATGTCGCAACCTAACAAAAATTCACCATTGCCACCACCATAAGGTGATAGGTCGTCTATCAAGGCCAAACTTAACAGAAGAACTGGAGCTCGAGCTTCAGGATACTACAAGAAAAACATGGTTGGTATCGGTTGTGTTGGTTAAGTTAACGAACACAAAATTCAGAATTCATGTCGTGAATTTGCATCGGTTATATTATCCCCGAATCATATTTCACTAACGATTCAGACGCTGAAGAATATTTCTCTTTAGGTTTTCATCCAACATAATGTAAGTTTTTTTTAACTAAATTAGGAGCTCATATGTAGTTATATACAGTCTACAAAAATTAATATATTTTTAACTTTATTTTTTTTAGGAGTCTAAAAAAGAGGAAAGCTTGACTCCTTATTGGTTATACAAAGTACTAAGTATAGAGTATATAATACATTATATATATGGTTAATTGCCTAATTGGTTTGATTGGTTAGTAGTATTTTAACCTAAACCAAACGAGTTAAAAAATTAACAAAAACCAAACCAATATTGAAATTGATCAAGTCAAATTATTCTAATATTACCGGTTAAAATGATTACCACAATAACCAATTTGTTTGAATACTCATAATTAATGCTATGATCACACCATAAGTCGATTAAGAAAAATATAAAATTCAGAAAACGACACTTCATGGAACCATCATATATATCTCCTAAAATAAAAATGTCAAATCTTAGGACTTTGCTATGGTGACATGCATGTCACGGTGACATGCACTTTTCGGTCGACCTCATATAGGATCAGGTCGACCTAATATGTTGTTTCAGTGTAAAAATAGTTTCATGGTGCCTACTTTGGAGACTCATATTTTACAATTGGCTACATGGAAATTGGAGATTAAAGGCTTGTTTTGAAGCTGAAGTGTCCCTCTACACATTAAAGTACTTGGGAGCTCAATAGAAAGTCCAGAAGACTATTTTTGAACCTGACCAAAAGGCTATGCCAAAACTGGGAAACTGCCTGAAAATGGCTAAGTCTGGCAACGTGTTTGTCAAGCCTACTTTGGAGCTCAATTTGAGAAGCATGGATGCGAGTCAATTGGATGAAAGATGGAATATCTTTAAGGCTTCAAACAAAAGGCTCGAAGTTGCTACGAAGGCTGTTTTCTGGCAGCTTGCTTGTGCTCGAAGTCTGCCAGAAAAACAACCTTCGTAGCAACTTCGACCCTTTTGTTTGAAGCCTTACAGATATCTAATCTTTCATCCAATGCCTTGAATTTGTATAAAAACATATCTAATTTGACGTGGTAGAGGCTCTTGGACTCGACTCGCATTCATGCTTCTCGAATTGAGCTCCAAAATAGGCTTCACAAACACGTTTCCAGACTTAGCCATTTCAAGGCAGTTTCACAGTTTTGGCATAGCCTTTTGATGAGGTTCAAAAATAGTCTTCTGGACTTCCTATCGAGCTCTCAATCACTTCAATATGTAGAGGGACACTCCAGCTTCAAAACAAGTCATTAGTCTTCAATTTTCATCTAGCCAATTGTATGATATGAATATCCAAAGTAGGCACCATGAACTGTTTTTACACTGAAACAACAGATTAGGTCGACCTGATCCTATATGAGGTCGATCGAATCCTAATTAAGGTCGACCAGATCCTATATGAGGTCGACCGAATTCTAAATGAGATCGATCTAATCCTAACTGAGGTCGACCGGAAAGTGCAAGTCACCGTGACATGCATGTCACCGTATTCACACCCCAAATCTTATTATGTGCAAATATATAATGATATATGATGTATTGTATTTAATCCTTGGCTAGGTGAAAGATGGAAATGTCCAAACTCCAGGGAGGAGTCCCAGCAGCAGAGAATATGTGTAAATGTGTTGCTTGATGTCAGGTGAATAAATCCATATCATGTGGTAGATGTTCTTTTTTTTTTCTCCTCTTTTTTTCTTTGAAGATGTAGAAGAGATTGTTAGTTTGGTAAAAAAAAAAAAAGTTAGTATGGTAAAAGAAAGTACAATGATATCAATCCTCTGTAGGTCATGAATGATTGTAGGACCTAGTTTGCTAATGTCATTAATAGTAAAGCAGCACCTATATATCTTCACTACAACATTCACTCTACATTAAAAATAACTTTTACTATGTACGCGTCAACCTAACTTATCTTTAAAAAGTATACATACATTTTACTTAAACAACTTCTCGATTATCCATAATATAATTGTCGATCTCGCTCGGCATTATGATTAATAGATCACTAGTACGAGTCCCAACTGACTCATAGGGCTTCCTGTATATCCCATGTCACTTAAGTAAAACAACATGGTTTGCAATGAAGCAAGAAGCAAATATTTGATAAAAACAATGATGCCATGATGTTAAACAAAACAATGGAGATCAATGTTAGAGAACAACAAAATACATATAATTGCGAGAGACAAGGTCAGAACAACGTAACAATGCAAGGAATTGGAGTTATATCGAACTAATCAAACCGCCTAGCTAAATAGCAATGTCATGCCCGCCAAAAACCAGAATATCACTCCCATACAACTCTGGGCAACCAGAAAGGAAGAATGGGAAGGCAAACAATATAGTAAACCTGAACTTAACAAAGCAAATTATTAGAAAATAAAACAGGTCGCAGCATCTGATAATCCTATGCCAAAGAGCCCCAAAGAAAACGTCAATACCACGCACGAGTTTAAGATTACTAAACGCCAAGCCAAAAATAAACCCAAAGATAAAAACGAGAATTTTGGACGCGGCTTCAGTTATACAGCAGTTAACAACTTTGGAAAATTCGAGGTACACCGAATTATGTTAAAACAAACTCAATACTCTAAATTGTGTCATTTGCTGGTAACTGATTATATGCCTAAAGAGCGAGCTAGCTAGCATTTGTATCCAAACTTTGGGAAAATGGAAATGGGAATCCAAGTACTTCATCAAGTTTGATTTTTATATGTGATTTTCCTTTTATGAACATTTATATGTGTGTTTGTTCTCCCGTAACACAATACTAGTAAATATCTTGTCACTTTTGGCCATCATCATTGTTTTCGGATAAGATAGTTAAAAGCGAGTTGGGACAATAGAAACAGGCCTTACAAAATAATCATTTTTCGGTTCTTGTTCGTAAGTCGTACTCGTCAAGAGATTTGAGCGATCATGCGAGACAAGTGAAATTGTCCGTAGATTTCAAATGTAAGTACCGTGGTTTAGTGCGTGCAATTTGCACGCTCCTTTTCTAGGTATACAACCAAAAACTAATTGGACGGGGAAATTATTGTGCAACGTCAAATTCAGTTATATTGTAATAATGTGGGTCACCATTTTTTAACTTTCAAATTTTTTAAGTTTAATCAAGATCTTCATCGATTTACTAACTGCCCTTTATCATCTTACACTAGGTCTAAATCGTAAAGAATCATATCATATGTGTTTAGATTCCCGGATATAATCCTTCCATGAATAAATTTCAAAGCGGAAATATAGAATGACAAATGGACAGAACTATAACTATAAGCAACTCATAAGAAAAGCTGTAAAATTCTGATAATGTGAAATAGTTCCTTAGAACTGCAATTTGGATTAGCAACGGATTATTGGTACATCACGAAGAAACACACAAAAGACTAGAACAACAAAAAACGCAAGAAAAATTCCCGCCAATTTTATGTATACGCGGAAAGTCCCTACTAAACCCAAATTAAACAGTAAAAATAGGGGAAAAGTAGTAGTTCTCTGGCCAATTGAACCAGCACCACCGACACAATTGTAAAAGGACAAAAAGGTAAAAAAACACCACTTACTGCTCCCGCCTCATCTCAACATGTGCGGCCTCAAAGCATGATATGTAAACGACGACGGCGACGGCGCCGGAGCCGTCGACAATTCCTCTGCCTCCGCCGCCGTCGTCGATTGTTGGTGGGAATTCTTCCCGCCGCCGGAGCCGCCCTTACAGGGGACGTAGCTCATCAACGTCTTCTCGTTGGGGCAAGTGTGCTTGTTGGAGAAGAACATCCCGCACTCCGCCGCCGACCTCTGCCCCGGGAGATCCAGAATACAGTTGTGGCGGACATCCAGAACCTTCTTCTTGATGAGATCCCGGCACGCGGGCCCCACCTGGGTGAAGTAATTGGAGGAAAGCGACAGATTGGCGAGCTTCGGTAGCTGGCAGACGCTCTCTGGAATGGCGCCGTACAGCTGGTTCCTCGCCAAATTCAGGTCCTTAATGTCCGCCAAGCAAGCGAACGAGTGGGGGATTGGGCCGGTGAGCTTGTTATCGCCGGCGTCGAATATCCTCGCCTGGGTCAGGTTCCCAATTTCGGTCGGCAAGCAGCCGGAGAACTGATTGTTGAGGAACAAAACCTCCAGCAGGCTCCTGCACCTGCCGATGCTCTTAGGAATCTGTCCGGAGAATCGGTTGTTGGCGAAGGTGAGGTACAGGGCCGGGGTGTCGCCGACGGTCTCGGGGAGCGGGCCGGTGAAGCCGTTGTTGTTGAGGAAGAGGACGTCGAGATCCTGCTGGAAGATCCGGCTGGGGACTCTGCCGGAGAATCGGTTGTACCGGAGGTCGATGAAGGAGGCGTTGTGGGCGTCGAGGATCTCGTGGGGGAAACCGCCGGCGAACTTGTTGTTGCTGAGGTCGATTTCGTAGAAGTACTTGATCTTGGAGCCGAGGTTGGGCGGGATCTTGCCGGTGAAGTTGTTGGAATTGGCGTGGAACAGGGTGAGGTCCTCGAGCTCGTCGAGGAATCCTTGGAGCGGGAGGTCGTCTCCGTCGCCGCCGAATCCGTAGCCGTTGAAATCGGCGGCGGCGACGGCTTTCGTGTTGATGTCGGGGCGGACGGCGCATCGGAAGCCTTTGTAGCTGCAGACGTCGTTTCCTCGCCAGGAATCGGTAATGCGTTGCGGATCGCATTTGATTTTTTTCCTGAATCTCTGTATTACCTTGAAGGCCTTGGCGATTCGCTCGTTCTCGAATCCCGGCGTCGGAGGGCGTTTTGGAGTCGGAGGAGGAGGAGGAGGAGAGGGTTTGGGAGTCGGCGGAGGCGGAGGTGGTTTGGGATATGGCGGCGGGCTTGGAGTCGGAGGAGGATGCTGTGGTGGAGGAGGATAATGGAAATTGGCCGGAGGTGGGCAAATTGGTTCGGGAGGAGGAGGCGGTGGAGGGCAGTCGCCGTAATCCGGCGGAGAGGGAGTTTCGCCGCCGATGATGATCTCCAATGCGCCCCTGTTGGGTACGGCGGCGGCGGTGGCCGGGGAATGGGAGTGGAAGAGGAGAGTGACGAAGAGAAGAGAGAGTGAAGCGGCGGCCATCTCTTCTCCGCCTCTGTTTTTCATTTGTGTTGGAGGAAATTGAAATTGATAGTAAGGAGAAAGGAATGGGTGGGATTTTGAAGGCAGGGATTATTATATAGGAATGGAATAAATGTATGTTTGGGAATATTAATTTCCCCGACTACATATATTTTGATTTTAAGTCGTAATTACAAAACGACGGGAGTTCGTTCCCTCGGCTTTTTCTTCAGTTGTGTCGTTTTCCCTCCACTTTGTACAGGACTGTTTGTTTGGACCCTCGTAATTTTAGTATTAATTTCTTAAAAGGAAATCGGGGGGAACCAGACAAGGGATAGTAATAGAGACAGAAAAAGCATTTTGAGCGCGCCACTTGAGTCTTGAGTTCTTTGTTTAAAGTTTGAACCAATGAGGTACGAGCCCTAGACTCGAGGGAAAAGCGCCCTGTTTTGCCCCAAGGTTTTAACTCTCTGCTGCTTTTGTTGATCCATGTAAGTTAAGTTTTACGGTCAAATTTTACAAGCAATCATTCAACGAAATTTATCTTCTTTTTTTACATGTAATTGGGTTGATAATCAGTATTGTGGTCTGTCAATTTTATTTACTATCTCGTATTTATGTCTCATTATTGTCCGGTTCCTGCCATAAATTCACGGGACAAAGAGTGGTTCTCACTTCTCAGTTCCACCCAATTATTTACGTAACTTTCCTTGCCATTTAATTTAAGGGTAAGAATGAAGAAAGATATGATATCCAATACATATATGGAGTTTCTCTTTTAACATCCTTTTAGGGGTCGTTTGGAGAATATGAGTTTAAATCTACAGATTATCAACAATCTAAAGATTCTAACTCTTCGGATTGTTGAAAACAGGTTTTAAAATGTTTATTGTTTGGTAACTGATTGTTAACATTCAATTAAAATAAAAAAAATATATTTTATATTAAATAATATGTTTATCCTTAATAAAAAAGTTAGAGTGGTTTGAGAAATATTAAAAACTTTGTTGATAAATATATTTCATGTGATAAATAAATACAAGTAAGAGAAAAACTAGGAGAAAAAAAATCTTACGAATCAAGATTTAGAATCTCTCTGATTATGAGAGATTTTATATCCACAGATTTTAGAGATTTGAAATCTCTAAAGCTAGAATCCACAATATAAAAAGCAACAAAAAAAACATAACTTTCTACAAAATCCATGAATTCAGTGAATCCATATCCTGAATCATGTTCTCCAAACGACCCCTTAATTCACTTTTTCCCGGCTCCAGCGCACACCGCGGAGGGGTCTTTTGGTCGTTTCCTTTTTAACTCATGGGTCGAAGATTTGATTTATGTGCTCCTTTAACTGACCAATGGCAATGTAACTAATAATCATGTTGTATTTGGGCTTTGATTAATGTTATTAAGAAAATGGAATCGTTCATTCGTTATAATGTAAAATACATATATAATACACTAATTCAAGGGTGAATTTATCACTACCTACAAAAAAATTCAAATTCATATCCAATGTAGTCAAAATCGCGCTTTAAAACTTAAAAACTTACGATTTTACGTTTCTAGGTCACTAAAACTCTTATAAAAAAAAAAACTTAGTTTTTACAACTTACGTAGTTAAAAACTCCGCTTTAAAACTTAAAAACTTACAATTTTACGCTTCTAGATCACAAAAACATTTCTACGTAGAAACTCGCTTTTGACTACATTGTTCATATCATCTATCGCCAAAAAGTTCTACAAAGTATTCAAACTATCTCACAAAATAAATCATAATTTTTTTAATTAATTCAAGTCAATAATAAGAGTGACAATCCGTAATGAACCAGATAAATCCGACAAGGAGGCTGAGAAATGAAACAAATGAAGCATAAATAAAATTAGGTGATTGAAGTTGGATGGTTTTAGTTTACGTTAACATACTTTATTCTTAATTTTGTGTGATTAAAATAGTGAACCAGCGAATCACTTAAACTGGGGTGGTTCATCTGGTTTTATGTCAAACCGTGAAAAATAAAGCATAAAACGGATATTACCTTGCAATTGCATTCCTGCTACACCTACCGTAACTTTGCAATTAAGTAGCTACAATTGTTAGAGACAATAGTGCAAAGAAGCGGTACATAATCCTACACAACTACTATGATTACTAACTTATGTCTCACTACTATATAATTCACGGATTAGAGACACCATGCTACTCTCATCCAACACATCCAGCCCTTCCCTGTTGCTTATTTGTTAGCTTATGAATTATTGCATATATTCGTTCTTACGTTGCTCTTTTACTTTCACCTGCAAGTCTTTATTCAAACATTGTTGATAATTTGATGTTTTACTAAATTTAGTTTCTTTTTCCTACTCACTACCCAATTGCAATGGCCTCTGTACTAACATGTTATTATGTATTGATGGTAGAAATTAATCTTTTTAGTTCACGTATATTCATGGTTGTTGAAGGATTAAATTGTATTTAAGTTCTACACTTTTTCAATCTTGGCTTCTATATTTACTACCGATATAATATCCATGGTTATATATGTCAAGATTCTTATTTTAGAATGAGCTAATCTATGTTTCTTTAATCACACACTCATGCATCAAAATTGAGCTTATCACCTATTTTGTGAGTTACTATATATGATATCCATTGTGAAACAAAAAAAAAAAATGTTTCACTGTTGTTTTAATTAGAGGTTAGTCCACATACAACCCAAGATGATATTTGATCTCACAACTTAAAAGAGAAGTTGGATTCTTCAATGTCAGGTTTTGAGGAAGTGACCGCCAATCAATCCCAATATGAATATTATTCTTTGCCTCGATATGATAGTTATTGACTCAAAGTGTAAACTAACAACAACCATGCGAATTTAACTCTATGATTCAAATTTGAAATTTTATTAATATTCAAAAAAAATTCTTCATGATAATTATATTTGGGTGCAAATTCCCAAAGGACAAATCAAGGACTTTCGTCTCGGGACAGGTTACGGTGATTACTACAAAAGTAGTAATCACCGTGGTTACTAAGGGTAAATTGGGTATGGAAAAAATAAATTATATTAATTAAATTTTTAATAAATTACATTTTAGGTAGTTACAAAAATCTATTAATTAAAATTCTCTCTTTCTCTCACTTCCGTAATCTCCAGCCAGATTTCCTTTCCATATTTTTCTCAATCTTTCTGCAAAAAAAAAAAAAAAAAACGAAATCAGTACCAATCCATTAGACAAACACTACCACTTTGAAAAACATCAATACCATTGCAGAAATAAATCTATACCATTACACGAAAACTACCATTGCAGAAATAAATCTATACCATTACACAAAAACTACCAATATAAACAATCAATAACATTGTAGAAATAAATCTATACCATTACACAAAAAATACCAATATAAACAATCAATACCATTGCAGAAATAAATCTATACCATTACACGAAAACTACCAATATAAACAATATATACCACTGCACATTGAATCAATAAACAAAAATTACTAGATCTAGGTTTTTAAATCTATACCGCTGCACATAAGGAAGAGAGCAGAGAGAGATCAATACCACCAACACCACCGGCGGGCGAGAAGGAGATCAAGATCGGCACCAAGCGGTCCTTCTCGTACAAAGTGAAGGAGGACGGCGGCGGCGGTGGGAGTAGTGGTAAAGAGAGTGAGAGTAACGGATGGGTGATGCACGAGTTCAAGATCAATGGAGAGTTGGCTAAGTGTCTTGGTGTTCGTGGTGATGATTATGTTGTTTGCTGCGTAAGGAAGAAAGAAGAGGGGAAGAGTAACGGTGGCGAGTGGCCGGAGGTCGAGCTGATTGATGCTTCCCCGTGGACTGCTGCGTAGGTCGTGGAGGGAGGATAGAACTAGGGTTTAGGTAGATTATATAGAATAATCAGGTGTGGTCACTTTTTAATTTCCAAAAATACCCTAAAAGAATCTTGACCGTAAGATTAAAAAAGAAGGAAAAATAATTAATCAAATGGTATAAAGAGGTTTCCACCGTGATTACTAAAAAACTAGTAATCACCCTAACTCATTCCCTTTCGTCTCCTATAATGTGACCAGAGAGTTTACACTATCAAGACTCTGTGGCCAATATGACAATGGGAGATTACATGGCAATTCTAAACAAATTGATCATCAAGTTTGAATCAAATATAGAAGCTGAAGCATGAGATGATATTCTAAGTTTCTAACCATACCATCTTACAAATTTTATTTCATCTAACATGATGAGAGTGACAAGAAGTGCAACAAAAGAAATTTTCTTTCGGGTTCGAATTACTATTCTCAATTCAAATTACTTTAATCTAATGTGTATACAGCCAAAAAGATTAATTGACTTTTTTAAAATTTTCATTCCACGTATGTTGTTCGCCAGCTTATTCAGTATTCGGGTTTATTGACATTAACACTCATTGGAAAAATTACCAGCAAGGAGGCTCCAACTAAAACTTCCCGAGTATGTAATTCTTTTTCATTTCGGTTTAAAATAATATGCATTACGTTAACTCTAATCTCAAATCTAATATACCATTTCGATGCAAGAGATTTGTTGTCAAGATAACTCTCTTTGGTAGGATAGTTACCCAATTAAATGTTATCTTTACAAATGCGGGGAACCTCTTTCTCTCCCTCTCATCTTGGTCATTACATCATTATATGGCGTTCCATACAATATGGTAAGGAAACATCTTTATTACTTTGTCATTATTAATCAAACCATTTGCAAATACATATGACATTTAATTAAATGATCGTTAAATTTGCAAGCGAGAAAACCTTCTCCTCATCTAGAGCGATTTTACTATGACAGATGAATTCCAAAATTCATTAATTTTGGGCCAAGGTAAAATTCACGACAATTTAATCAGCAAATTTCGTTTCGCGTTATAAGTTGAAGTTTTAAATAGAAAAGGGATTAATTATCATTTTTTTTGTAAAGCAGTGCACGACTAACTCAAACCGTAAAATGCACGAAAGCACCTCAACAAC